GGAATTTATGGGGGGGTGGGGGGGGTGTTGAAAAGCATCAAGATGACTTACAGGATGTAATACAGAGAGCTGCTCAAATCAGTGTTAAAAGTTCATGATTACACCTGGAAATCTACGAGACAGTAACGATGCACCGCATTGGCACAAAGAGCTGACAGTGTTTTTCAGTTCTGCTCCATCACCCTACGAGATGTGATGAATTTGAAAAGAATCACCCCGGTGTTGACTTACTGGAGTTACTAAATCTTGCTGAAAACAAGGGGAAAGTTGTAGCAATAGGGGGATGTGGACTTGGTTTCGACCAGCTACAGTTTGTCCCAAAGATACTCAGCTCGAATGTTTTGAAAACCAGTTTGAACTGTCAGAGCGGACAAAATTACCAATGTTTCTTCACTGTCGAAGCTCACAAGCTGCATTTTGGGTAATGAAAAGAACTGGAGGTGGGCGTGTGGGAGGAGCGCCGCATTCATCGGCCCGAGCAGAGGAAGCAGCGGCTGCTTTGATTGACTCGGGTTTCTGCACAGGGTTTAATGGCTGCTCACTGAAAACTGAGGCTAATTTGGAAGCTTTGAAGTCAATACCTGGTGAAAAATTTATGATTGACACTGATGCACCTTGATGTGGAGTCAAAAGTACACATGCTGGTTCAAAATGTATAAAAACTTCATTTCCTACCAAAAAGAAATGGGAAAATGGACACTGTTGGAGAGACAGAAATGAGCCCCGCCGTATAATTCCAGCACTGGTGATAACGTCGGCAGTGAGAGACCATCCACCGGAATTAGCCAGCACGCTATATAACAATGCCATTAAAGAGCTTTTTCCTGACATGCAGTTGTATGTATTTTCCATCATGTATGTACAATTTCATGGTAAAACTTAATGAAAGTTTCAATAAAGGAATTCTCTGGAAAACAAAATAAAACACAGTGAGGTCTGTGCTCCCACCTGGACACGTGCAAGCTGAGTGTCCAGAGGGGAGAGAAAGGGAGGACCATCCTACCTGGCTGCCGGCAATGGTTCTCAAGGACAGAAGCGCCACAGCCACGAAGGACCAGCCAGGTGTGGAGAGGGTATGCCGGGTCCTCAAGGCCCTTTGCCCATTCTCAGGGCATGGTCCCCCAGCCTCCTCTGCCACTCTCCACCCACGGGCTTCCTCACCGACCACCCCCACTGGCTCCCCTACCTCCGCCCCTGCCTCACCAACCCCCCTGCCCTCTCT